ATCCAGATCTTGGCTGTTCTTAAATGGTAGGTTTTTTCCTTTTTAAATTACTGCTTCAATTTCGTTGCCTGTTATTGGATTATTCAGAGTTTTAAAGTCTTCTTGCTTCAATCTTAGTAATTTGTGTATGCATTACTATGGAATCTATGCATTCTTCTGAATTCTCCAATTTATTGACATAAAGATGTGTAAAGTAGTTGATAATAATTTCTTTGATTTTGCCAGTGTCCATTGTTATTTCACCTATTTTATTTCCTTTTGTTTTTTTTTCCTGGAACCGGGAATCAAACTCACAACCTCGCGCTTGCCAGGCAGGCGTTGTGCCACTGAGCTAAATCTCCAGCCCGTCACCTATTTCATATCTAATTGCATTGGTTTGAGTTCTCTCTATCTCTCTGTCTCTTCTCTCTTCCTCTTTTTTGGTGAGGTTGGTGAAGGTTTTGTCTGTTTTCTTTATTCTTTTGAAGAAGGAACTCTTCAATTCATTGATTCATTGTATCGGTTTTTTTCTCAATTTCATTGATTTCTGTTCTTATCTTTGTAACTTCCTTTCTTGTACTAGCTTTGGGTTTAGATTATTGTTTTTCTAGAATCTTTCGATACATCATTTGGCTTGGTCTGTTTTTGTTGTGTGGCATTTACAGCTAAATACTTACCTCTTAAGACTGCTTTCATTATGTCTCACAAGTTCTGACATGTTGTCCTGGCATTATCATTTAGTTCTAGAAACTTTCTTACTACTTCCTTGATTTCTTCTGGGACCCATTGATAATTAAGAATGTATTCTTTAGTTTCTATGTATTTACATAATTTCTGTGTTTTCTTTGGCCATTGATGTCTAGTTTTATTCTACTACGATCTGATAAAATGTATCATATAATATCAATTCATTTGCGTTTTCTTAAGATTGCTTTATTGGCTAATATGTGGTCTATTATGGAGAAAGTTCCATGTGTTGCTGAGAAAAATGTGTATTCTGTTGTTTTGGGGTGGAACAGTCTGTAGATATCTATTAAATCTGTTTGTTCAGAGATTTTATTTAACTCTGATAGTCTTTTTACCCTTTGTCTAGTTGATATACATGTGATAATCAGGTATTGAGGTTTCCTACTGTAATTGTGTTTCTGTTTGTCTGATCTTTTATGCCTAGTAGTACCTGTTTTATGAAGTTTGGTGCACCATTGTTTGGTGCTTATATATTAATAATTCTTATCTTCTATTGCATTGTTCTGTTAAGCAGTATGTAGCAACTGTTTTTGTCTCTTTTGATTAGTTTCAGTTTGAAGTCCACTTTGTCTGAAAATAGCATAGTTACTTTTGCTTTTCTAGGGGGAGGTTCCCTTTGCATGAACTATTGTTTGATGTTTAGTCTGTTTCTTTTTTTTGTCAAATGTGTTTTTTGTATACAGCATACCATTGGATTTTATTTCTTGATCCATTCTGCCTGTGTTTTTTGATTGAGGAATTGAGACATTTATATTGAGAGTTATTATTGGTAGGTATTGATTTATTCTTTTCATTGTCTTATTTTCCTGTTGCGAATTCTTTATTTTCCCTTCTGTTTAATTGCTCACCCTACCTGGTGTATTCATTCTATAGGATATTTTGTCATTGTTGCTTCATTGTCTCTTTCTAGAATATCTTTGAGATTTTCTTGGAGTGCTAGTTTGGTGGTCATGAATTTCTTTAGGTACTCTTTATTGTGGAAATATCTTATTTCTCTATCAATTTTGAAAAGTAGTTTTTCAGGCTATAACATTCTGAGTTGGAAGTTGTTTTTTTGTTGGATTTGAAACGTTTTGTTCCAAGCTCTCCTGGCCTTAAAGGTTTGTGTTAAGTCTGCTGTATTTTAATGGTTGTACCCTTGTAAGTGATAGTTCGATTTTCTCTAACAAGTTTGAAGATTCTGTTTTGAGTTTTTGGGATTTTGATTGTGATATGTGGTGGCTATTTGGAATTTTATGTGCCTCACTTATTCTTGTTTAGTTTCTATAAGTAAACATTATTAATGAAGTATTTTCTAAAAGAGAACATTTTTTATCTTTGATATGGAACAGAAGAAATTCACTAAAGTCTACGTGCTTTTAGTAGAAAAGAAGACCATTTAATATTTTTAAACATGTAGGTGAAAATATTAGTTTACTAGATGATTGAGGGTACTGTGTTTTCTTTTAATTATATTTAATTAATTGGAAAAGAATAGTGATATATCCTAGTAATACTGAAGTGTATTGTATTTATTCATTTGCAAAAATACACTGAATGGCCAGGATGTGCTGGGAACTTTCCTGGTCTAAGGAAAAATATTGTTGAATAAAACATACATGGTCACAGATGAGTTGAGCTATTGGGTCAGAAATACTTCCTTGAATTTTCTCAAGCTTTCTAGATTATTGTTTAGCTCCTCATCCTATTTGTTACTATTTTGTCATTTAGGCAGAAGTTTTCTTTTCACACCTTTGCATGACCTATGCATTTATGTCTAGGCACTGTTTTTACTTGCTGTCTGGTCAGGTGTGGTTGCAAATATGTGTATTCCATGGAATCCCTCTTTAATTTCGATTATTAGTTGGGGAGCTTTCCTTTTCCCCTTTTAGGGGTAATGGTTTATTGAGAACACGTAGCTTATTTTCAGAACAAAATTGATATTTTAATTTTCAGTCTGCCATAAAAGTCAAAGCTATTTACCAAATCAATCTAGTGGATGTTTTTATAATTTTGTGAAATTTTATGAATAATTCATAGAATAGTGAAAAACTGTCTTGTTTTAAAGTTTAATAGGAATATAAGCCTGACCTCTTATGTCAAAGAAGTTTGTTGCACAAAAATATAAATGATAGAAGGGTATTGCTCTTTTTTAAAAAACAATTTGATGATCCATGTAATGTCCATGTAAGATTTCACTGCAGATTATTACATAATAAAGTACTTTCAGTTAATGACAAACTGGAGGAAAACAATCATATTTCCTTTCCCCTTAGAAATACTTTGACCACTTATTGATTATTATTTTTTTTAAAGTGTTTTTTTCACCAGGTTGCCTAGGCTGACCTCAAACTCATAATCTTTCTTCATCAGCCTGCCAACTTGCTAGGAGTATATGCATGTGTGCCTATGCCCAGCCTCAATTCTTAAATTATGCTGTTTTCATCTAGGATATCATCATTAGTCTGAAATATCATGTATATGGTCACTTTTGCTACCTTCATTATTAGAGTCTAGTGTGCTGTTTTCTCTTTGCACATACACTTTAATGTTTGTAGAGATTGAGAAATGTCTGTCAGCTTTCTTTTATTTCCTATTATGGGCAAATAAAAACTATGGAATAAGTGAATATATTCAGTGAAATCTAAATGCAGACTAAAAATTGGTGTCTCCGAGCCTTTAAAAATACCTTCTTGAGGCTGGGCATATAACTCAGTGGCACAGCACCTGCCTGGCAAGCATGAGGTCCTGAGTTTGATTCCCGGTACCAGAAAAAAAAGAGAGAGAGAGAAAAAATACCTTCTTGAAAGATGATGGAACAATTTGGAAATTACAACGTAAATGAAGTATTTCACTGTTATGTCAACCTTGTAGGTCACAGTTAGTGAACTTCAGCTTGCTGGTTTGCTATCTGTTTCTGCAAATAAGTTTTTATTGGAACATGGCTATGTTTGATCATTTTTGTTGAGTTGCTATTGTACACAGTAGCAGAGTTGAACAGTAGCAGAGATAGTGTGAGCCACAAACAAATCTTTCCCAGCTGGCCCTACAAAAAAGTTTAGCCAACCCTTTTTCTAGGTAATTCCTTTATTTTCCTTTCTTGAAAAGTTATTTTTGTATTTCAGTCTTTAAAGTATTTTACATGATAGAGATTAATTGATGAATGATGATAAATAATGATGAAATAATATCTAGGGTTATAAAATAACTTTCTAAACAAAGTAAAATTAGTACAAGATCTTATCATAGATTTATAAAAGATCTAGTGGATAAACATGATAATTGCAAGATGGAAAGTTTTATTTTATTGCTGAAGATTATAATAATATCATACCCCCGCCTTAGGAGACCTTTAAAGGAATGAAAGAGCATCTAAGACTGTTTGATCATGAAGTACCAATGCTTGTAAATATAGTTAGGTTTCCTAAAGTGAAAAAGCTCAGAAACAAAAATGGACTTATTTGATGTAACAGTGTGCAAAAAAAACTGGTTCATTTAGATTATACATCATTACCTCATATCTTTGAAGAGCTCCCCTTGCCCCCCCCCATCTGTGTCTTCTCTCTCCAGCACTTGTCCCAACTATTATTTTTTTTCCATTAAGAAAATGTTTGGGTGCTGGGGATATGACTCAGTGTTAAAGTTCTTGCCTTGCATGTATAAGGCCCTGGGCTTCATCCCCAGCACCACCAAGAAAAAAAAAAACTTTGTAAAAATTAAGGTTGTGATTCACCTTGCAAGCCTCTTAATCACATATTATTTTTCCCTACTGAATCATGTGGCATGGACTGATAATTCAGTGTATATTCTTCCTGTAAATCACAGATATTATAGCACAGATTTATTTGGGGAAAAATATTTGGACTTGATTTTTATTTTGTCTATATTGTTAAGAATCATCTGAATTTTAAAGTAGTATAGCTGAACATGTCACTCAAATAAAAAAGTCATTCATGAAAACTGTGGCAGATTATGGCCAACTTAATGCTGGATGCATTGTCACTTTTGCAATTTGGAGTAAGAAATTTATGCTGTGATCTGCGAATTATATTCATCCTACCATTTTAACCTTTGCTAAGAAGCATTGTAGCCACCATTATTTCAGTTCAATAACTCCGAGGGCAGATTTTAGTTTATACTCATATTATTATTAGCTGATTTTGACACTTGAATATAAGAGCATAAAGTTCTTATTTTCACAGAAAAATTTCCCTTAAACGATGAAGCCAAATATTTAAAGTAGGCCAGTGTTTTAAAACTTATTTTTAAAAGTGTTTTGTCTTCATTTTTTCAAGGCGAGGGGAGCAGATGTTCCAGAGATTCCTGGAGATGTTACTCTTAAGACATGTGGCAGTACAGCAAGTATGAAGGTCAAACATATGAAAAAGTAAGTATAACTTTGGAATGGTTTCTAGATGAATTCCTGTAAATGGAAATCAGCTCGCTAGTTCTTATAAAAAAATCTTTTATTTGGATTATTTACTAAATTAGCTCTTACTGTCAATACATTAAATTATGCTGTTAACCCTTAAATTATGACTCAACAATTAATAGAATAGGTCTGCACACATAATCTGCTTTTCTAAAATTGTATTTATTTTTTATTCTGAATGTTATTGTCTGCTAGGTTTCATTTGTTTATTAGGAACAACCCAAGCACATCTTTCTGGATCCCTTTATTGCACGTTCTCATTTATTTAGAAGAAGGTTTTGTTGAGTTGTGGATTGCTAGATTTCAGGTTTGCCTCTGAGAAGTGACCATTAAGTGAAATACCTGAAGATTTCCTGGGCAGTTTTAAACAGAGAAAGCCTCTTTTCCCTAGATAAAGGAGGCATAGTTAGCCAGCTGTGGTTCATCGGTTAGCAGAGAAAAGACAAAGATAAAAGTTTTCCTTCTGCACCCAGGTCCACCACCCCAGGACTGATGGGCTGTGACAACATTCACAGGTAAAGTCTGGTTTTGTACTTCGTGTTGTGAATGCTGCTTCTGGCTAGAAGCTGGTGGTTCACAATCAGTTTCCATAATAGTTACAGAATGTACAGTTTTTCTACAGGCTTTGACTTGGGTAAAGATTAGGAGAGTATAGTGAGGTTTTAAAATTTTTCAGTTTTAGTATAGCTTGTGCATTAAGTGTAGTACTCATTGGATTCATGGTACATCTGAAAAGGTTTGTGTGGATGTATATGGCTTATTTGCATGTGCTTATTAAGTATTTTTGCTTGCATGTGCTCTTTAACCTGTGTGTTTTCCCCTTAGACCTAGTAATTTGGACTTTTCCACTGTCTGATTTTATATTTATTTTCCTATACTTCAGGTTGCCCTTCACTAAGGGTCACTTTCCGAAGATGGCTGAATGTGCACATTTCCATTATGAGAATGTTGAATTCGGCAGCATACAGGTATATTTAGGATACTTCTTACTTCCTGCATTACAGTAACTGACGGGTGATACTTTGAGCTGTGTTTTAAAACTATTGATGTTTATTGCTTGAGGTAAAATCTTTTATTCTATTCTCTTGACTAATACTTGATGCAAAGTTGATACATAGTAAACCATCACATTAGCATATATAAGTTAACATATTCACAAAGGAGATGTAATTCCTGTGTCTTACTGCAGGGCAGCTCTGATTTGAATGTGTTACATTTCTGGCAGCTTGATTCATCAGTGGTACATGCATGATTATCCCACTGAGTGGTATGGGACAGTCAAATCAGGTGGTATAAGCTGCCCAAAGGGACACTGATGCATGTGCCACTGGTGGTTCAAGCAGGTGGAACATGTTAAGGAAAATCAGTGCTTTTTCCCTCTTTTGTCATATATTATGCCCATTATGTGCATGAACTATGTACTGGTAGTTGCTTTCCATGCTGAATTTAGGTAACTTTGCCAGTGATACCTTTTCTTAATTAATTACCAAATGTATTGGTGTTTGGCACATTGAAGTGTTCCCATTTGATTCTTCTTTTTCAAAGTGTTTGGCTATTATTAGTCTTTACATTTATATACAGTTGTAGAATCCATCTTGTTGCATCAAGCTTAATACTTTGCTGTTTAAGTTGTTGACAACTTAATCTGAAAAAAATTATAAATAAACTTTAAAAATGGGCAGATTGTGGTTATTTTTAAAATTTTATTTCCTCAGGGTAGCAAAAGCCATTCTATATGTTATTTCTTTTTCAAAGTAGGGTAATAGAAAAAATTTTTAATCTTTCCTTTCTCACATGCTACATGCAGAGTTTGTGTACCGTCTGCCAGTCTCTCTAACTCCACTCTCTCTCCAAAAGGAAACTCATGAGACGCAAGTAATACTGTGGTGTGTGGCACAGTGTGCTACTTTTTGTAATTTTATTTAATAAATAAGTAATATGAATCCAATCTACAGGATTTCTGTGTCTGATAAATTGATAGTTTACAACTTTTGAAATTTATAAAGCTCAACTATTGTGATGTCAAACAAAGAATGTTTTATTTCTTTAATGTTTATATCCCTGGGATTACAGTTATAATGATAAATGTGTTAAGATAGGAAAGCTGATTAAGAAACCAGCAATGAATATATTTTTCATTTTGTGACTGGTGTTTGAGTGATTTAGTGTACAGCTTAGAATTTAAATAAATTATTTCTGAGTAAATTTACTTTGTATTTTTAAATTTTACAAGGTCAAATGGGCTCTTTTGGAAGCAGTAAAATCTGTAAAGGGTTGTACTGAGCATGGTGTAAAGAAATAGGTGACTAGAGGTCTAAAACTGAATGAGAAAAGTATTTAATATGTTGCCTTTTATAATAGGTGAGGCACTCTCTAAGAAATGTAATTTTAAATAAAATGAAACTATTGATTGTAAGCATGGACTATGGGATAGAGAAAGTCTTGGATTTAGTTAGTCAGTGCAGATTCTAATTTCCATTCTACTTCTTAGGAAGTTTGAGACCTTGGGCAAGCAACATAGTCTGTTTGGTTTCATTTCCTTCATGTACAAAGTGAATAAACATGTACTAAGCAAAAGTATAATTCTAAGCTTTTGTTGTTTTGTTTTACATTAAAAGTTTATAATAGGAGTTTTGAGAATGTGAGTAGGGAATAGGCAGTACTTAGCTGGATTTGGTTATCTTTGGAGATGGTGTTAAATGCTTGTTGTTAAGGTTTAGTCCCTTAATGAGAAGAATGTGTCTAAAAAAATTTTTTTTTGAGATAGGGTCATGTTCTGTAAGTCAAGCTGGTTTTGAACTCACTATGTAGCCCAGGCTGGCTTCAGACTCACAGTGATCCTCTTGTCTCATCCTCCAAAGTGCTGGGATTACAGGTGTATGTCACCACGTCCAGCTCAACTGTGTCTAATTCTTAGCTGGGAGCACATTAGGTAGACTTTCTACCTGTATACTTACCTCTCATCTTCATTTTGGAAGATTTGTTCAAGTTTTCACTTTCCACCTTATATTCCTTTCTACTCTGTGAAACATTTCTAATATTTCTCAGGCAGAAGAGGAAACAAGATGTGACACTGACTTCATCTGTGAGATGTTTGAGTGAGTTTCTCAGGCCTGTCTTGATCACTGAGAAGCTTCTGGAGTATGGGAATAGTACTTCATGAGACTCATATCCAGCTGACTTCTCTGTAGTTTTGTTTGGATGCCTAATCAACATCTCAAACTTGTACTGCTTCTGGAGTGGTTCACAGGAAACCATCCAGCTGCACCTTGCCAATTCAGTGGAATCTTCTCTTTGCGCCATTCATGCTACTGGGAACCAACTCTCGTGAACAGTCTGTTCTCTTAGTGGTTTTGACCTGACCTCTTCTGTTCTGTGTCTGGAGACAGACCTCTCAGCACATTTCCCAGGTCTGGTTGCCTTCTACCTCTGTTGGGAACAGCCCATGGCGGATTCCATTAGGAGGCAAACACTAGTTTCCATTAACTAAGTTGTTAGTAGAAGCAACCTGGCTTGACTTACATATTTATATTTTTTTACAGGGGTAGTAGCTATTCTTGCTTTAGATAGCACATGGTATTATTACATTTTTATAGTTTTACATTTTATTATCTAATTGAATGCCACTTAAAGAAAAACAAAAAAAAGTAATAATAACCTCCAGACAATCCTACATTCCATACATGTAGTTAAAATAAGGTCAATATGTCTCTGTTCATATTCTTTATCATTTTATAAATATATTACCTTCTATGACAGATAAATCCCAGCACATTTGATTACAAGCATGTTTATGGAAAATGAATCCTGTATTCCTTATTTATTCTCAGTATAAGATTGGAAAATGTTCTGAGAGGAAAACAAAATTTGTAACATATATCTAGAATAGGTTATCAGTCATGTGTGGGCAACTCTGTTGAATAATGAGTAGGTTGCAAATACTGTCAAGTTGACTCTGTTGTTGCCTTTTAATATGTCCCAATTCTGAAACATATTTCCTGTCACATATTTCCTTGCTCTGTAAAACTCTTACCTTAGGACTTTCTTTTAGATTTCTAGATTTCTTTGGATTTACAGCCTTTTCTCGTCCTCAGAACATAAAAATTCATAATAGTGATTTCTGTCATGTGTTATTTTTGATAGATGATGTAAGTATCTGTGAAATTTTAAAAATCCATGAAATAATCCTTAATTTGAGGGCTTTCATTTTATCTTATAAAATGAAAAAAATAATTATTTTTTTGGTACTAGAGATTGAGCTCAGTGAGCACTGAGCTACATCTTTAGCCCTTTTTATATTTTAAAAGTTTGAGATATAGTCTAAGTTTCCCAGGGTAGCCTCAAACTCATGATCCCTCAGCCTCCCTAGTAGTTTACTTTAGAGGTATATACCACCACCTCCAGTGAAAATACTCATAATCTTATATGTTAGAAATTTCACTTACCAGTCTTATGTAGACTGAAAGACAGTTGCCTGTGTAAAAAAAAATCAGATGTAAATATTTCAGGTCAGTGCATTACCATGTGATGTATGAAGTACTTTTTTATGATCTCTCCTTTGAATTCAAACATTATACAGCCAGCTGACCTCCGTGAATCTTCACTCGGATACTTAACAAACTCGGTGTGCTTTGCAGTTCTCAGGCTTGCTCCTCCTGCTCTCTCCCCATCTTAGTAGCTAGCAGCCCTCCCCTTTTGACTAGGGACCTGGGAGATAATCTTTTGACTTCCCTCAGTCCATACCAGCAAATCTCTTGGTTCTGTCTGTAACTTCAACTCAGGATCTAATTCCACCTGCCTACCAGCTTCCCTGCCTTCACTTTAGCCTGAACCTCTGCTGTTTTGGGAGTATTGTTTTTGTAACTCTATAGTTGGTACAGCAGCTACAGGGATTCTTTTCAAACATAAATCAGACCTTGTCACCTTTTCAAAGCTCTGCAGTTACTTCTATTAGTCAGAATAGAAGCCAAATTCCCTAAAATTTCCAACCAGGTTTTTTCAGGACACATCCAAATCTCTCTGTCTTCTCTTCCGCTCAGGCAGAGTGTTCCAGCACAGTGATCTCTGCAGTTCCTCCAGTGTGTGCACCCCTCCTCAGGACCTTTGTACTTTGTTTCCTCTCTTTGAAAGTTCTCCTTAGATTATCAAGTACCTTGGTATCTCCCCCTTTGAAGTACTTGCTCCACTGCTGTCTTCTCAGAGGGCACCTGAGATTGGAATTCTAGGTCACCAGTGCCTTCACCTCCTTCCCAAGTTCCCTCCTTGGTGTGATAAATACTGTAGTATTATTACTATCGTGTCCTTTTTCTCATCCAGAGCAGTGTGGGACACATAATAGTCACTCAATAAATATTTGAATGAATGGAGGAATGAGGTTGCGGCTGGATGAGGCATCCTGTGAGGGCTTCTTTCCAGATTCTTGGTGTCTTGAACAAAATATTGGACAAGGCACACAGAAGACACAGTGAGGATGTACATTTATTGAGTGTGTAAAGTATACTGCACAGGGCAAGAGCAGGCTGGTGAAAAGGCTTGTAGCAGCCCAGAAGATAAGAGGATATGGGTTAGCTATATCCAGAGTTCCTGGTTTGAAGCCATGTATGGTGGCACATTTCTGTAATCCCAGCCCTGGAAAGCTGAGGCAGGAGAATCACTGTGAGCTCAAGGCCAGCACAGGCTACATAGTGGGTTCAAGGCCAGCCTGAACTACACAATGAGACCCTGTCTAAAAAAAAAACACACACAACAAATTTCCTGGTTTGGCTTCTCCCTCATGCAAATAAGGGAATGGGTCATCTGTCCTATCAAAACTCATTTGGCAGCACACCAAGTATAAACTATCCAATCAAAAAACTTGCTTGGTTTCCCACAAGATGTAAAGAAGGATCAGAAACAGTGTCTCTTGATTAGTTGTGCCCACATGCAAATGAAGAATTAAAAAGAGCCTCTTCTGACTGGTTCTGCAAAT